CAACACTATTAGAGGAGCTTGTAGGTAAATTACCACTTAACAAACGCAAAGATTGGGCTCGCCATATATTTTCAATTAATAAAATGTATCCAACTATCCAGGAATTTAGTATCTGGTTGCAACAAACGTCTATGTACATCGCCATGGCTACTGAAATTAATACGTCAAAATCAAATGTAAACACAGATCAGCTGGTGCAAAAAAGTAATAGATTTGCGAAACAAGTGTTAACCATAGGTAAAGAAAAGTATGAATGCCAGCTTTGTAAATCCGATCACAAATTGTACCAATGTTCTAATTTTAAAGAGGCAGGATATGATGAGCGCTGGGAGGTCGTCAAAAACAATCGCTTGTGTTTTTGTTGCCTTTCCGCAAATCACAGCATGTACAATTGCCCTCATCGTCGTGAATGTGGTGTGGCATCTTGCCGCAAGTATCATAATAAATTGCTTCATAAAATTAATTCAGAAACAGTTCAAGCTGGCATCTCACCTCCAACAGAATCAGCTGTTGCGACTGTAAATGTATGTGAAAGAAATGATTATGAGAAACAGAAGAGCAAAATAAACAAAAGAAACGCAGATGTATGCAAAAGCATTGTTGATAAAACTTTACTTAAATTTTTGCCTGTAAAACTGTATGGACCCAAGGGTAGCGTACGTGTAATGGCATTTATTGACGATGGAGCCAAAGTCACTCTTTTGGAGGAGCGTATAGCTGATGAAATTGGTTTGAAAGGAATCGCTGACTTCTTGCGCTTGAAGTGGTTTGACGATCAGACAACTACTGAAGTTTCAAAACGGGTGGATGTTGAAGTATCGAGTGTTTACGATTCAGTGCGATTTCATATGAAAGACGTTCGCACGATTAAAAAGCTGCTTTTGCCCCCACAAACTTTGTGCGCTGAAAACTTTAAACAAAAATACGACGAATTAAGCCATATTCCAATTGTAAGCTATACGAACGCTATGCCACATGTCTTGATAGGGGTGTCTCACACAAATTTAGCTAGGCCATTGCGTGTTGTTAACTTTGAGGAAGGGTTTACGGCACATGAAACGAAACTGGGGTGGACGATATTCGGCTCTAATGAAAACCGAACACACAACACAACTATTTGTCATGTACATATTGACGACAGCGCACTAAGTCAACTGCAAAAGACAGTATCTGATTTTTTTGAGGTAGAAAACTTTGAAAGAAGTACGCTGCCTCCCGTAAAGTCTGCATGTGGTATAAGGGCTGAACGAATACTGACAGAAACAACAAAATTTATTGAAGGTAGATATGAGACGGGACTTTTATGGAAGGATGACGCTGCGATTCTGCCTGAGAGTTACAGCATGGCATTAAAGCGTCTTCAAATTGTGGAAAGGAAAATGTTGAAAGATGAAAATTACGCAGATTGGTACAGAAAAAAGTTAAATGAATATGTAAGTAAGGGCTATGCTCGGAAATTAACTGCAGATGAAGCCGAATGGGTAGATAAGCGAACATGGTACTTGCCCCACTTCGCTGTGTACAATATAAATCAAGGTAACAAACCTAGACTAGTTTTTGATGCTGCCGCCAAAATTAATGGGATCTCGTTAAATTCTGCACTGATGAAGGGGCCGGACTCATATCATCCCAAATCATTGCAGTCAATTCTATTTAAATTTCGAGAAGGGAAAGTTGCTATCTGTGGGAACATCCGCGAAATGTTCCATCGCGTTAACATACGTAAAGCCGATCAAAATTCTCAGCGGTTCCTTTGGCGAGAAGGAGACACGACGAAGTTACCCGATGTTTATGTTATGACTGCAATGATTTTCGGCTCTATTTGTTCGCCATGTTCGGCACAATATGTAAAAAATTTTAACGCGAGTAAGTTTTTGCATGAGTATCCGCGAGCAATAGAAGCTATTATCGATCGCCACTACGTAGATGACTACGTTGACAGTTTCTCTAGCGTACATGAGGCTATAAGCGTAACGAAGAAGGTAATCGCGATCCATCAAGAAGCAGGTTTTGAACTTCGAGGATTTATTTCGAATTCAAATGCTCTATTGCAAGCCATTTACGACACGTCAATGCCAGTTGAGAGTCCTACAAAAAATATGTGTAGTGGTGAATCAGACTGCGAGAAAGTTCTGGGCATGCACTGGGATCCGAATCGTGATGCTTTTTCTTTTAAGTTAATGTTTGCGAGAATTCCAAATCAAGTTTTGGATGGCAGTATACGTCCAACTAAAGCGGAGTTGTTAGGGATTATCATGTCCATTTTCGATCCCTTCGGGTTTCTATCCAACATAACTTTGGCTCCGAAAATACTTCTGCAAAAATTATGGCAGTTAAGCGTTGACTGGCATGAAGCAATTCCACGGGAGATTCACGAAGTATGGTTCCAGTGGTACAAGTCGCTAGAATCGCTGTCTGAATTTAGCGTACCGAGATGCTATCATTTGAATTTCACAGACCCTTCAACGCAGATTCAGCTTCACATATTCGTCGATGCAAGCGAACTTGCCTACGCAGCCGTGGCCTACTGGCGTATATGTCATGCAAACGAGGTAGAAATAGTTTTCATTGTTGGAAAGTCCCGCTGCAGTCCATTGAAGCCACTATCTATTCCACGTCTGGAGCTTCAGTCCGCGGTTCTAGGAACAAAAATTAAGAGTGTGATTTTAGGCAGCCACACTGTACAACCAGATAAAATTGTGTTCTGGTCAGATTCGAAAACCGTTATTCAATGGATTAGGTCCGAAGCGCGACGTTACAAGCAATTTGTTTGTAATAGAATATCTGAAATCCTCCAATCGTCTGAGGTCTCACAGTGGAGATGGGTGCCAGGCTCGTTAAACCCTGCAGATGACGCAACAAGACCACAAAAAGTTAGAGTTTCATCGAACTCTAGGTGGATTAGTGGCCCTTCATATCTTAATCTATCTGAGGATCACTGGCCCGTCCTACCAAATCCCGAATCGGAAGTTGTAGGCGAAGAAGAAAAGCGACCAAAACAGCTATTTACAGTTCAAATGGATATTGATGTCATACCATTTGCAAACTACTCTAACTATTATACATTTTTGAAAGTTATGACTTGGGTAAGGTACGCGATTTTTAAGTTCCTCGCATATTTCCACAAGAATGCAACTACGAAAGATGTGTTTAAAATCACAGCACATGAGGTGAGGAAGACCGAACTCATGCTTGTACGATTGGTGCAAATGACCGCTTTTGCCGAGGATGTCTTATTGGTACGCGAAGGCAAGGAGCTTTCTAATCGCAGTTCACTTTTTGATTTAACGCCTGTGATCGATGATGAAGGAATTCTGCGAGTGGGTGGCCGCATAGACCATGCTGAATCCTTGCCAATGTATACTAGGAGACCAATTATCATGCCACGGGATCATCCGATGTCACGCCTCATAACACGTCACTACCATGAAATGTACTATCATCAGAATCAAGAATCCATCATCTGCGCTATCCGAAGTAAATACTGGATAACAAACATTCGAGGCCTTCTAAAATCTGTAAAACGTGAGTGTCAGCATTGTAAAAATATGGGAGCGACTCCAAAGACTCCGTTAATGGGACAAATCCCAGAAGATCGCTTAACACCGTATATTAGACCGTTTTCGTACACCGGCCTTGACTACTTTGGGCCGATAATGGTATCTATAGGTCGGCGTCGTGAAAAGAGATGGGTGGCTCTATTTACTTGCTTGACAATACGAGCAATTCATCTGGAAGTAGCACGAGACTTATCAACTGACGCCGTTATTCTGTGCTTAAGGAACTTTGTCAATCGCAGAGGAATACCAGTTCGCCTACGCAGTGACAGGGGTACGAACTTCGTGGGGGCAAGCAAAGTCGAATGGATTTGTCTTAAAAATGATTTGGAAGCGGAGTGTACTCGTCGTGGAATCGAGTGGGTATTTAACTCACCAGCAAATCCATCAGCGGGTGGGGCGTGGGAACGTATGGTTCGCAGTGTAAAAAGAGTCTTGTCATTCACATTGAAGGAAGCGGCACCGCAAATAGAAACTCTGCAAAGTTTGCTTATTGAAGCGGAGAATTTAATTAACTCCAGGCCACTTACGCATATACCAATTGAAAGTGTCGATTCCGACCCGTTGACCCCTAACCATTTTATTTTAGGGTGTCCTAACTATATTCAAACGTCAGATTGCTCTAAGGCGGTATGCCTACGAAAACAGTGGCGAGTCGTTCAGCAACTGAAGCAAACCTTTTGGCGTAGGTGGATGTTAGAGTATTTGCCAACTCTAACCAGGCGCACTAAGTGGCATCAAAGAGTTAAACCAATTACAATTGGCGACGTAGTTATCATATGTGACGACAACGAAAGTAGAGGCGAATGGAAGCGCGGCATAGTTCTGGAAGTGTATCCTGCTCCTGATGGTCAAGTAAGGTCGGCCCTCGTTAAAACATCATCCGGAAATTTACGTAGACCTGCCTCGAAGCTCGCGGTCTTAGATGTGTATGGTGAACCTCAAACTGCAGACGCACCTTCGGTTCACGGGGGGCGGAATGTTGTGGACAGAACCACGCTATAATTTATACTAGTTTAAGACTTGAATTTGAATATGAATATTTGGCAACCTTCTTTTGTCTAATGTAACTTAACATTGTTTTATACTCTACCGAGAATGTTTGAACTCGA